GGGCTGAGCTGGCCACACACACACACACACACACACACACACACAAATAAATAAATAAAAAATTAAAAAAATATATAAGAGTAAATATTTCAAAATGTTAATAATGATTAAGGTAGGATTTTCAGAGTGTAGTTGATTTAAAGCATTCTTGCTTCTCTGTGGTTTGAATTCTTCTGTAATGGTAGAATGCATAGGCCTGAGAGATAGCTCAGCAGTCTAAGCACTTGCCTGGTAAGTGCAAAGACCTGGGTTTGATCCCAGGTACCACATTCTGCGCTGGCCCCTGAACCCTGGGCATGCCATGCCAGCCACCAAAACTGGGGAGGCTGAGGCAGGAGGATTATGATGAGTCTCAGTTCTGTAGTGAGACCCAAAAGAAGGGATGTTAAGCCATACCTCACTGGCCAGGGCTTCCCTCCACTGTAGGCCAAACTCCTGGTGGTCTCCGCTCTGCCACTAGTGCCCAGGCTTGGAGGAGCTGTCCCCCCCAGTGCACACCCACACTCACCACTCACCAATCTGCTCAACCCTTGCCGCACCCGCAGGTAGAACTTGAAGAGCAGGCTGAGCAGCAGCGTGCGCCGGAACTCCACCTGGCCACCCTTGGCCCCAGGGGCTAGGTGGACCTCGTCCAGGACCCCCTGGCAGGCCTCGCTCAGCATCTGGTCTTCCCATGGCCTGCAGAGAGGACAGACGGCTGCAGAGGGCTCGGGTACCGTTGGCCTCCTGAGCATGAGAGCTGCTCCCTGCAGATGGGGTGAGCAGTCAAGAGCAGTTGTCTTGGGGGTCAGTGGGGGTGGCCAGGGTGGGGTGGGCACGCGGGAGCTGGGTTGGGAGCAAGGCCATCCCGTTACCTCTCTTCTGCAAAGGCGCTTGGCTGCCCCTCCAGCCCCAAGTCCAAGCAGTGTGTGGCCTTGGTCCATTCAGATTGCCCAACAAGCCCTGCCCAGTAAGCGAGCTGGCCTCAGGCCTTGGTCATCTCCCCGAATGCGCTGGGACAGACTCGACTGCCAGGCAGGGAGACAGGGCTGGCCTGCAGGCCACCTGCGAGCAGACTGAGTGGCCTCAGAGTGCCTCGCAGCTTTCAGTGACGTGGACGCAGAGTGCACCGGTGCCCTCTGTGGAGTCTCCCTATGTGAGGTCTGCCTTGAACTGCTTGAGTGAAGAATGCTGGAGGAACTGGTGAGTGACCAAATGACAGGAGGCACTTGTGAAGTGCTTCCCAAGTGGAACTTTCCACGCACTGTTCAGGAATAATCGATTTACTTCAGTACTGGGGAACAAGCTCTGAGGGAGGCAGGCGCGAGCTTTGTTGTGGGATTCTCCTCCAGCCACAGGCTCCGCCCTCCATGCTGGAAAACGTGTACTTTTAGATGGAAGGAAAGAAAAAAGAGAAAAGAGGCGTTCCTCCACACCCTTCAACTTTAAATATGCAGTGTTCAAAAAAATCGAAACAGCAGATTCAACCCATTGCAGACGCTCTTTGTGGGTGCTTGGTGGCACCGTAGTGGAAGGAGCCCCAGAGCCACCTCTGGGTGTCCCCTTCTGGCTACCTGCCCAGGGTCCCTTACTTTGATCTGAGAAAGCCCAGGGGGAACATTGACTCACGAACTGTGAGAGTGTGTTTTCCTTCTTGGAAGTGGTGAGTTATTTTATATGAGGTCATTTAAATATCTATTTAAAAATAGGAAGCTGCTTATATATTTAATAACAGAAGAGGTGCACAAGCAACAAACAGAACAAAGCTGTAGTAATTGCTAGATATTAACAAAGAGAATAATGGGTTAATAAAGTAATTGTACAGGCATTAGATCGACCTTTCTCTCTCTTTTTCTTCTTGCTTTCTCTCTCTCTTTTTCTCTTTCTCTCTTTTTCTTTCTTTCTTTCTCTCTTTCTTTCTATCATTCTTTCTCTTTCTTTCTCTTTCTTCTCTCTCTCTCTATTTCTTTCTTTCTTCTTTCTCTCTTCTCTCTCTCTCTTTCTTTCTTTCTCTCTATCTTTCTGTCTCTTTCTCTCTTTCTTCTTTCTTTCTTTCTTTCCTCCCTTCCTTCCAGTCTTCCTTTCTGTCTTCACAGTCTCACTGGGTAGGGCGGGGTAACGTTCAGTGCACAGCAATCCTCTGTCTCCATCTCAGTACTGGTTAGAAGCGTCACCACCACACCTGGCCTAGTTAGAGGAATTTTAAATTTTTACTTTCTAAGTGCTGGAAGGCATGAGAATGACAGATCATTTAAGCTTTTTGATGACTTAATTGTGCTTGTGTGGCCTGAGCAAATCTTTAGCTGTCGTAGGGTGCAGTGTACTGATTTTGCAAGTTAATTCTTAGGGTTGTTATCTACTCAGATCTTGTCACTTGTACATCAATCTTATTACAGAGACCTGCAATGCAGGAATTGTTGCCTTGGGTTGGCTCTTTAGAAAGCATGTAGTTTCTATGTTTTTTCCGCAGGAGTTCACATTTTCTAGATGATTATTTAAAACCAGAAGAAAGGGCCAGGGATATAGCTTAGCAGCACAAGTGCCTGCCTGGCAAGTGCAAGGTCCTGAGTTTGATTCCTGTGACCCCCACCCCGCCAGTACTGGAGAAGTCCTGGAGGGAAGGCCTCAGGGCCCAAACCTGGCAGAGCCTCACCTGCCAACCAGCTGCGCACAGGTGCGGCTTGCAGAGACCACGGTGGGGCCAACACCGCCATAGAGCACCTGCAGCTCTCGGATGGTGCTGGTGCCGGGCTCGAATCGCACGCTCATGCCGGCGTTGACGATGGCCATGGAGTTCTCCTGCCGCTGGGCCTGCCGGAGCCCTGACACGAATTGCCACTGCAGACAGAGGAGAGGGATGCTTAGCACCCGTGCTGTGTGCCCCTGCCTGGGAGCCAGGGGCTACTGAGACTGCAGCTGCTGTGTGCCCTGACTTGTGCCACCTGACTGTCAGCTGCGAGCTCTCGTACTTTTCATTCAGGGAAGGAGTCCTCGCTGGAAGCCTCAGCCCTCACTCTGGCCCCTGCATTGTGAGCAGGGTCTGGTTGCTGCCATGGGCCCTGGACCCCGAGGCTGTCTGTCCAGCTTCAGCCACTGTGAGTGAGGGAGACAGCCCTGGTGACCAGGCCTCGGCCAACCCAGCCCCTCTCTTCCTGCGTATTCAGTGGCCTTAAATACCTGCACAGTCTCCACTTGACCTTGCTCTCAGTCTTCGAAGGTGGCCCCTCTGCTAAAACACAAACTCCTTACAGGGGTTTTTTGGGGTTAGTAGTAGGGATTGAATCCAGGCTCTTTGCAGTGAGAGATACCCCCAGCTGTGGTTTTCTTTTTCAATTTTTATTCTTTTAAAGAGGGTAGAGAATAGTATTAAGACAGAAAAATTACAAATGATACAATATTTTAGTAAACAAAATAACAGGAATTTCATAATATTTGTATTCCATAGTACTGTCTTCAAATTAGTTGTTCATATTACCAGGTATATGCATGCAAAATTGGAAGAAGGAAAAAACTACATAAGAAATTAAGAGAAAAAGATCAAAGAATTGAAAAAAGGAGACAAAACAAATTAAGTACCAACTGCTCCTTTCCATAGACTGGCAGAAATGCACAGAGCAGCAGTCCAAACCATCCTGCTCACATGTGTAGAACGATTTCTTTCCCCTCCCTCTGCTGTCCTCCTCTCAACTCAGTGATCCTTCCTTTTGAACAGGTTCATTCACTCTCCACAGCATCTACTGTGTGCTTCAGATTGCATTTTTTCTTTCAGGGTCTCACACTAAGGGGACAATGTGAAATTCGCAGGTCTGATTTATTTCACTTAAGAGTATGGTCTCTAGTTGCTCCACTTACTGATAAAATCCTAAATGTAGCCTTTCCCCAGCTGTATTCTTAAGAATCATTTTGGCCTCAGCCTACACTGGCTCTCATGCACAGCAGGCTGGACCCCAGGACCCTTTCCAGCCTGACCGTGGCCTCTGCCCCCCATGCCCATGTAGGGCAGGGCCTGTCACAGTGCAGCAGCGTCTCCTGGCCTGCAAGATGCCAATGGCCTGTGTGCTTATCCCTCAGCAAAGTGGGCTTCTCCCCTTTCTACACCGAGCTCTTCCTGTCAGCTCTACGAGCCTCCAGGACAGGCTCTAACGTCTTGCTCCGTCTCTGTCGCTGTCTCCTATTTGGGAGTGGAATCCAGGGCCTTTGCATGGAGCTACAGGCCCAGGTGTTTTACTCTTCATTTGGAGACAGGATGTCATTACGCTGTGCAGGCGGGGCCTGAGCTTGCCATCCTCCTGCCTCAGCCTCCCGAGTGGCTGGGATTGTGGGTACAAGCCACCACACTTGACCTCATTAACTCTGGTAGTGCCTTCTGGGTTCAGCACTGTGCAGTGGAGAGACATGTGGCTGAAGGGTCTGAAATTTTATGTAAATTGCTTACTACTAATTATTGAGGGACTTGAAAGCACTTTTATACTAATATACTTGCAGTTCATCAGAAACTCCCTATGGCCGACACTGACTACAAATGTTCCCTATCTCAGCTAAGATGCACATTCATCTGACCCCACATTCGACTCCCATGAAGGCTTTTCCTTAGGGGCCGTAGGGCCCCACAGCCCGTGCTACTCTGATGTGTTCCAAAGCCCAAAGCAAGACTGGGCGTGATGCGCAGCAGTGCCCAGTGCAGCCAGGACGAAGTCCATCTCTCCACTAATGGTCACTTCTGACACCCTTTTGCATTTTGTGGAGGAAGGGCTCCATGATGCCGCGAGTGCCCAGGGCCCCAGAAGTCCAAAGGCGGCAGCCTGGGAACAGGCACTCCCTGGCACGGGAGCAGGAGCATGGTGCCCACCCCACCCGTGGCTCAGCCTCCTGCCAGGGGAGCGGGTGGCAGGGGAGCAGTGGGCAGGGCTCACCTGAGTGGAGTAGGGGATGGAGACGGATAGCACGAGCTCTCCAGGCTTCAGGCCGGCGCCCGGGGACTTCTCGAGAAAGGCGCCGTCCAGAGGGATCTGCCGCGGCCCTTCTGTAGGGGAAGAAACAGGTAAGCCCAGGAGGCGTTGAGGGCCGGTCCACAGGCTGGAGGCGTGGGGTCTGGCGTGGGCCGAGCACACTGCCCGTGGCCCACGTGGGCATAGGGAGGCAGGATGGTGCGTGCAGGACGAGTGTCACCGAAGCCACTCGTCTGAGCAACGCGTCCATGCTCACAGTGGGGGAGCCTCTGGTGGTCTCATGCCACACTGCAGGCCACACACTTGGGGTTTTTAGGGTTACTTAGAAACAACCCACTACAGTGCACAAGTTCTCAGGTGGCAAAGCCAGGGTCCAGAGAGGCTGAATGGCCTCTCCAAAGTCCAGAGCTGGGCTGGGGGCTGGGCTCGCGCGGGCGTCCCTCTCAGAAGAGCAGCACATGGGCAGCGTGCGCACAGACCCCCACGTGGCCTTGCTAACAGCCTACTGTGCTCCCTTGGTAGGCCGGCCCTCTTACGCCAGAAGCCGGAGGAATCGCACGCATCGCTTCCATTTCTTTGAGTGGGAGTAATCTCCCTCCTCAGAGCTCCAGGTGACTAGCAGCCCCGCACACCCAGCTTGGCTTAACGTGCGAAGTCCTGTGAGGAAAACCCCGTCTTCCGGCAGCTCTGCATGAGGCTGCCAGAGGCATTTGAAGCTGGAGAGAGAATTCTTGCTGTTTTTCCCCAACTGCTCTGGTGCTGATTTGGGCTGCTTATAAGTTGGTCAGTTTTAGGAAAAATACTCAGGCTCAGTAAACTGCACAGTGTTTCAGTCAGAACCTCTGAGCGTGGACAGCTGCGCAGCTGCCTCCTTGGATCTGAGGAAACAAGCTGGGCCTGGACTCCGCACAACTCCCCCAGAGCCTGCAGGCCGAGGGCCCGGCTCTCACCCTTGGATATCAGCTGCAGCGTCGCCTTTCCTGCTGCAAGGATGGGATTCAGATCAGAAATGGTAGCCCGGGTTGCCACATGTCCTCCTAAGGTCTGAATGAGAAGGGATGACCTTTTAAAAACTGCACTTAGTTGCTGGAAAATAAGGAATTATGTGTAAAATGTTAATTCTCTCCTTTGCAAGATGTGGCAGAGTTTGGAGCAGCAGACAAGGCCCTGTGCCTCTCCCTGCGCAGGGAAGCCCCGGAGTCGGTCATCGCCCTGCTTGTTTCTGGATGAAGACGGACCAAGAGGGAAGCAAGAAGGGGTTGGGGGTAGGTTGGGGAGGGAGAGGGTGTGGGTAGCAGGGGACAGTGCCCATCAACAGAGGCTGTGGGCACAGCAGCCCAGTGCCCTCTAGGGAGGGCTGCTGTGTCCCTGCGTCTCTGAGGCCCTAGCCCGTTAGCGAAGGCAGCTTTGCGTGGCTTGGGTCTCTGGGACACCTTGGGATGAGTTATGGAGTGGGGCAGTGGCCTTTAGGGGAGCGAAGGCACAGTGGGTTCTGGGGACCTGGGGAGGGGCAGGAGAAGGACCCAATCATGCTGATCCTGCTTCCTGTAAGACAGCGAGGTCTGTCGCTCTGAAATACCCAGGAGGGACCAAACCAGCTCTCAACCAGAGGCGGAGGGTGACAGCTCATGCCCTAGCCTGGACTCACACCCGGCTCAGGCCCACATTCATGCCCAGGCTTGCACCCTGCTCACCCCCAAGCCCAGGCTCACACCCTGCTCACACCCTCATCCATACTCAGGCTCACACCCTGCTCACGCCCACATCCATGCTCAGGCTCTACCCACGCTCATGCCCAAACCCAGTCTCACACCCTGCTCACACCCTCATCCATGCTCAGGCTCCACCCACGCTCATGCCCAAGCCCAGGCTCACACCCCGCTCACACCCTCATCCATACTCAGGCTCACACCCTGCTCACACCCTCATCCATGCTCAGGCTCACACCCTGCTCACGCCCACATCCATGCTCAGGCTCTACCCACGCTCATGCCCAAGCCCAGGCTCACACCCCGCTCACACCCTCATCCATACTCAGGCTCACACCCCGCTCACACCCTCATCCATACTCAGGCTCACACCCTGCTCACACCCTCATCCATGCTCAGGCTCACACCCCGCTCATGCCCACATCCATGCTCAGGCTTACACCCCGCTCACATCCACTTTCACGCTCAGGCTCACACCCCACTCACATCCACATCCACGCTCAGGCTCACACCCCGATCATGCCCACATCCACGCTCAGGCTCACACCCTGCTTATGCCCACATCCACGCTCAGGCTCACACCCCACTCCCGCCCACATCCA